TTCGGTTTTGAGTGTTTTTGATTTTTTTAACAAGTATAAAAAGCAATATTCCAGCCATTTTTGTGACGTTTTGCGAAGAGAAAAAATAAATCTACTATACACAAAAATGAACTTTTCCACGCAGCAGATTGGTTGATTGATTTATTTGTGTTTAACGCCAAATTCAGCACGATTGGCTATTTCGTGGCGGTCAATTTTTATTGTTGAAGGAAGCCGAAGTGCTCAGAGAGAACCGCCGATACACACAGCAGACATTTTGTAGTTGATTTAGTGGTAAAAAAGTAACTATAGTGTCAATTTGTTACACATACAGCGTGTTCAATGCAGTATATTTATTGTATTTAATATTCTTTCTTTAGTATTTCTATAAATTGGTTATGCATGCAAACAATGATGTACTTCGCTTTCAAGAAATATGGATAGGTTGGTTTTTTTTGGAAGATATGGGGTAGAGTGCATGGTGACTTTTTTCTAAAGGGAGCTTAAACTAGGTTAAAATGTACTTGGGAGTGTCTTTAAATTATTACACTGTACCTGCTACATACATAGTTGCGTGCAATCCATCATATTTATCGGACAACTATTACCCTAACACTCAAATTAATGTAAAAGACAAGTTTCAATTAACATTTTAATACTCGTCCATCGCATGCCTATGTAGCAGTAAATTCTGTTGGAGATTCGAGACAACAAACTCCATTATTCCACACATTACTTCTAGAAGTAACACTGTGACCTTCCTTTTCATACATATGTTGCTAGGTAGATGATAAGAGATTGTTCTACTCACAGTAAACATTTCTATATTTATACTACTACATGGAGCTAAGAATACAAGTACGAAAACAAAATCCCGGCTCTGCAAACTGGCTAGAAAAATTTATTCACATATATAGTTCCGATTCTTTAATTGCAACGCTAGGAATTAAGGTCAGGGTGTAAAGCTTGGGTTTGAGTCGTTTATAATATGGCTAAGGGAAAACAATAAGGTGAGCCCATTTTTGAATGCATTTCCATTTTTACTGTATATTCTTTTTCTAAAAGTGAGACTGTGATCGTATGTGAATTTGTCTCACATTTTTGGCCTCGGAGCCTGGTCTTTGTCAAGCATCCGAGTTAAATATTTCGTCATATTTGAATTATTTATACAATGTAGATCTACTTTGATGCATATTTAAACAAGAACTTTATTTAATATAGATCAGATCATTTCATAAGATTAATTGTATGCCAAATATGCAAAAATTAAGCGTTATCATGAGAACGTCAAATTACAATTATGGGGACATGTTATTGGACATCTAAGTTCGTTTCGTATTTTATACCTGCAGCTCAAACAAAAATATATATCACATCATTTTAGAAGAAATGAAATGTATTTTCCGTTCATATCGGTTAAAGAGTGTTCAAAATTGGGGATCAAATAAAATTTCGTTTAATAAACAGCCTCTGGGTTGCTCTATGCGTCATTTTATCCATCGGGACATTTTATTGGACACGGGAAAACTGACGATGTTTTGAAAGTAAGACTGCAGTTATATAGTGATGACTTCATAAAGCTTCGTTAGGACATGTATAAATTTTCTGATAATATTAAAAGCCACTTTCATCTGTTATATCTTGTAATAGTTGAGGCCGAAAGTTTTCATAGGAGCTGAGTAGCTGAATGGGACATTTTTTCTCTTCCTAAGCTCAACGCTCCTGACAATCTTCTTTCACTCACAGTTAAAAACGTTTATGACGCTATTTTTCATCAATTGTATACAATACTGTTGTAAAATGTTATCTTATTTAACTTACTAACTAGTCCGCATTGTGATTTCAAAGACACAAACAAAACAAAATTGTAACAGCGGGACACCCTTAAAATGACGTTATAGCCGTCGAAATGAGCAAAGTTTTTCTTTACATGATATAAATAGCACGAATTCATCTATTTTATTGATTTCTGTGGTTTATTTCCTTTCGAATGATATACTGATCATGGATGTATATTGTATAGGAAAAGAGCGTGAATTGGATTAATCCGCTATCTAACGCATTTTTTCAAAGAAGCACCGATACCGTGCGCAACGTCTAAGCAAGCTTTAACTCAATACAATTCAGACAAGTTCCGTATGAAGATCCAGTAATCAACTTTTAAAGTTTGGAAATTGTAAGGTTTTTATATTGCATAGATTAATTGATATCGTATGGCAAATTCAAATTACTAACACCATATTTGATTATATTACATATTTGTCACCTGTTGAGTTGGAAATTCAATATTTTTGCAGACTTTCTCGGAAATTGTCGTACATGTTTTCCCCACTCCAAAAGTACATTGTAAACCATGAATCCTATTTTGTGTTATGAAATTGACAATAAAAAATTGCACTATACTAAGTGTCATAAGTTATATCTATACATCGGAAATTTATATTAACATTGAAAAAATAACATAACTAGAGATTTAATAAACAATTACTAGTAAATATATCTTAAGCTAAACTCGCAATTCTCTTGCACACGATCAAAACATGTGAGCTCTATCAGAGTATTTATTAGACATAAGTATTGATTTACAGCCAGTAGTAAAATCGTTCTTATCATTGAAAGAGTAAGAAATTCCACTCTAGCTTATGTTAATCATACAAAATTAAATGTCATTTAAACTTTATTAAATATAATCTTTTATAACAAGTAAGTATCAGTCAACCTTATTAGATGAACGAAATTGAAAAATCACGGAAATTGAAATTCGAACAGTTATACAGACATAGCCGAGAGCAGTAGAAACAAAACAGACATTAACAATTCAATAATTCAGAGCAAGAATAGCACCAACCCCACAAATAAACAACGCTGCATATTATCGCATTATACAAATAACAATGCGCTTCATACAACACGTGTTTCTCCATTGAATTCACCAGATGCAGAGATCAAAATACTGGGAAATAAAACACATAGATATTTTAAGTGCATCAAAATCGACATAACATTCAAAATAGTCTAAAGTCAACTTTACCTAAAGTTTCAAAATTAGCTATAGCAATTTATCTACTATTATAACTCAGGTACCAATGTAAGATAAGCAATTGGGATCAACTGGAGAATACGGAAGATATAGTTCTCATCAGCGGATTATAAATGAGTGAATCGGCTAATCTGGACACATAGACATATCGACACACAAACACATCGACACATTGACCTGTAGTCACATCGACGCATAGACACATCGACACATTGACACAGTGACACATCGACACATTGACACATCGACATATCGACACATCGACACCCTGACACTGGCTTATGATCAATCTGTCGCCATAGCTAGGTTTTGACAAAGAACAATATACCGCCTTGTGTTTGCTCTGACAATGTAATAATTTGGTGATAGCTCGTATCCCGTAGTTACATGTATCAAAATATTTTTATGTAATATTTGTTTTTAAATCTCTTGATATCTTAAACTTTTGACATAAGTGGATTATGACTCATTACGGTCTTTCGATGATATTGTGTTTCCGCAACGAATGCTTATTAGATTGATTTGGAATGTTTTTGTTTTCATACATGTTATTTGAAGACCGGTTACATCTTCATTACAAACGTTGCTTAGTTTTGGACGACATAGGTCTTGATAATACTAAGGATAAAGGATCTTTTAAACCCAATTTATCCAATGATGAATGTAAAAGTATGAAACCGATTAAAATGCGCATCATATGGTGTACCTTGATTTAGCAGGGTTAGTATCATAAGTATTGGTAGTTTTGTACATAAAATGTTGGGAAGCTTTTAAAACAAATTGTCTTAGGTTAAACTTGCCTGAGGCAGATACAACTTAAGAAATACTAATTTATCATTTAATAATTACAATGTCTATAAGAGGAAATTAAAATTACTCATGGGTTAATATTTACAATAAGTCAGAACAACAACTCTTCGATAGTTTATTTTGTCATCGACAATTTTTCCTTCGTAATGCCCCTCGTATAAAAGCTTTACGATACTAAAAAATCAAAGTGGATTATATTACTACATGTGTCTTTACCAAGGTAAGCAGCGACAATATTTTCTTATTTGTCTTGTGTGATATAATGTGTACAAGCGACCTCTCGTGTGCATGTTCTCTTTTTAGACGTCGAAGGGGACTTTCAGAGGGAGATAAATTTAATATTTCTGGGTACGATTGATCCAGTAATATTCATTTAGTAGTCGTGATGGCTATTTTGATATTAGATCTAAATGTTTAAGCTGTCAAGGATTATTAGGTCGTTTCGTTTCATTTATTGGTTTTTTGTTTAGGTTATCTGAAATACAAGAGTCTAACCGAAATCTGCAAAATCATACTCAATGTATAATAACATTATATCCCTATCGATGTCCTACAACTTGATGTTTACTTGCTACATTCAGAATTTAAAACACAAGATATAATTTTATGGCATTTAAGAACAGGAGAAACTTGATTCAATTGTATAATCAATACTAAAATAGCAACATTACCTTCCTACCTTTAAAGAAAAGTATTTTAGTACCAAATCAGGTGAAGGATTTAAACGTTAAGGAAATAATATTTTGTGATATAAGAAAAAACGCTGACCAAAGTTCGCATATAACATTATCGATTAATTGGTAGAGATAGGTGTGTCTTCCTATAAATAATATTACTATTAACATCAATAACAAGTAAAAACTACTAAAACCTTATAGAAATATACGGGAAAATTGTCGTGAAAATTTTATTTTTGTCTGTAATGATAGATTATACAGCTATTGCCATGATAGAGTTTCCACAATGAAGTATTGATATCACCAGTATAAATCTAAATTTGAATTAATTCACAATAGTTTTAAAGGCAGTATTTCAAATGATATAAATGGTTTAACGTTTTGTAAGGATATTGAACAATAGTTTAGATATTTGTCAGAGTTAGGTCATGTCATGGTCGAACCAAGCAGTCACAATTAATATTACTATTTTTAGATTCACATAAAATACAAATAGACAATTTCAATGTGCAGAGTTAGTTCTTTGTTGAATATGTTAAATCTGACAAAGATTTAATGGATAAGTTTAGCGATAAATAGACCATTAGTTTATTGTTCCTTAATGAACGAGTGTATCTACACGAGGAGTAACGATTGGCAAGCTATTAGTGTACTGTTATATGAGGATAACGAAACACCTTGAGCACAGGTTTGTGACTTTGATAAATTTTAACTGTAATGGCACAATTATTATATCAGTAATTTAGAAGGGACACAGGGATTAAGCATTTTTGTACACCTTTAAACATTATTTCAATATAGTACACTCTGAAACTTCCAATTTCTTCGATTTTCTTTAAATTCGTTTCAAATGTTCAAATGAACGATAGGACCATTATAAAAACAAAAGTTAAAATTATTGTAAAACAGTTCTAGAAAGTTCAAACTCATAAGTTTATGATGTTTTCACTTCAAAGGAAGACAGCTGTATTTTAATAATTTTTGTAACGTTTGGAGGGAGTGTTTTTCAACTTACCATCGTCATTCCTACTGGAAAAAACTCTTCCTCTTCTTGTCTATTTGTTTCTTTATTCATATGAGACAGACTTGATACAGGAACTTCTTATGAAGAATTAAAATAAGCTAGTATTGTCCCTTAACCCCATGTTATACTGTATTATATATACCACCAAATGTGAAATAAGGAAACCATAGATATACAGTTAATATGATTGAAAATGCATTTCGTTTCATTAACTAACCTTTTCAACAACAGATATGCTTTATGCTTTCTAATTTTGAACTTTCCATTTCTATGTAGTAAAGTTGCAACATCACCTGGATGTGGAGTGTATATCACAAATGACCAAGGAAATGTTCCAATTGTCATAGCCACAATCGCGTCCTCCTCGATTGTGACATCAACGAATTTGTTCTGGCCATGTCCATCTCGACGGGTGCCACTTATATTTAGAAATTATAAGAAACTAAGGTTTCAACAGCTTCAGGAAAAATTGACCTTAAATGGATTTGGCTATTATTTTTATGTCCTTTTTGGTCATCTAACTTTTCAATTGTTTCGGTTCTTATACATCCTTGCGTTCCTCATGAAGGTTAATCCATAAAAGTGCTTCGTACCCATGGAATTTATAAAGTGTTGTATAAATTTGTATGGAGAACCTACTCGCCCTACCAGAATATCTGAGACCAATCCAGGATGGAGAATCTACTCACCCTACCAGAATATCTGAGACCAATCCAGGTTAGAGAGTCTACTCACCCTCCAGAATATCTGAAACCAATCCCGGTTGGAGAATCTACTCGCCCTACCAGAATATCTGAAACCAAGCCAGGTTGGATAATCTACTCGCCCTACCAAAATATCTGAGACCAATCCCGGTTAAAGAACCTACTCGCCCTACCAGAATATCTGAGACCAATCCCGGTTGGAGAATCTACTCACCCTACCAATCCCGGTTTTTGGTGGTGTTCGTGTTGACCTCATTTGATGGGTGATACACATGAACATTATAACAATTAACATGTACTGTGAATAGCTCCCCTTTATTTACTACCCCACTCTTGCATTTGAGTGAAAGAAAATACATTTACCAAACAATGTTGCACACGATTTAGATTACGATTATAAGAATTGATGCCATTTCAAGAAAATATGATTTGTAGTTGCTGAGTAAAATATGCAACATATATACATGTATGCACGAATGTAAGGAACATAAATGAATACAGCAAACAGAAGTTAGTTAAATGTAAGTGGCAGATCTGAAAATGAGTTATCCGAGGAGAGCTTACTAAAATTAAAATGGGAAACAAATATCTAAAAGCTCTGATATGGTTTTATAAAAAATGTGACGAATATTTCTTTTGCTTGCATCAGTGTAAAGAACCAACACGAAAGCAACAAACAGGAAGTAGATGAGACACTTGTCTAAAAATCGTTTCACTCGGTAAAACTTTCAAATATGAAAGTTGAAACTTTGTACTAAATATTGGAAAACTCTAGTTTCTAGTTGCAACATATATACAAAAAACAACGAAAATGTCTTATACTTGCATCACTGTGATGAACTAGTATACATTATTGTTTAGGAGCCAGCTGAAGCCCGTCTCCGGGTGCGGAATGTTTTCGCTGTGTTGAGGACCCATTGGTGGCCTTGGGCTCTTTTTTCTCTTTAGTCGGGTTGTTGTCTCTTTGACACATTCCCCGTTTCCATTCTCAATTTTATAAATGCAAACTGCAAACAGGAAGTAAATAATAGCCTTTGTGTCAGATATCCAGAAACTCTTGCTAAGAAAAATATGACAGAAAATCGGAACTGGGAACCGTACGTTAACCTATCGTTGCTAACATCACGTGATTTGTTGAGAAGTTGTCTATTCGAAATTCATGCCACATCGCCTTTAAAATTTTAAATTAAAAATGTGTATATGTACAATGTTGATGTACGCAAATTATAAGTTTGAGTACTGCAGCTAATTAGATCTAATAATTATAAAACACAAGTTAGCGGGTTTTGCCATTGCGTTATCAGTTGAGGTTAGAATGTCCTATTGGTGCCACTTGATAAGATGTAATTGTTGTCCTATTGGTGCCACTTGATTAGATGTAATTGTTGTCCTATTGGTGCCTTCTGCCACTTGATTAGATGTAATTGTTGTCCTCTTGGTGCCTCCTGCCACTTTATTAGATGTAATTGTTGTCCTCTTGGTGCCTTCTGTCACTTTATTAGATGTAAGTGTTGTCCTCTTGGTGCCTCCTGCCACTTGATTAGATGTAATTGTTGTCCTCTTGGTGCCTCCTGCCACTTGATTAGATGTAATTGTTGTCCTCTTGGTGCCTTCTGCCACTTGATTAGATGTAATTGTTGTCCTCTTGGTGTCTCCTGCCACTTGATTAGATGTAATTGTTGTCCTCTTGGTGCCTTCTGTCACTTTATTAGATGTAATTGTTGTCCTCTTGGTGCCTTCTGTCACTTTATTAGATGTAATTGTTGTCCTCTTGGTGCCTTCTGCCACTTTATTAGATGTAAGTGTTGTCCTCTTGGTGCCTTCTGCCACTTTATTAGATGTAAGTGTTGTCCTCTTGGTGCCTCCTGTCACTTGATTAGATGTAAGTGTTGTCCTCTTGGTGCCTTCTGCCACTTGATTATATGTAATTGTTGTCCTCTTGGTGCCTTCTGCCACTTGATTAGATGTAATTGTTGTCCTCTTGGTGCCTTCTGCCACTTGATTAGATGTAATTGTTGTCCTCTTGGTGCCTTCTGCCACTTTATTAGATGTAATTGTTGTAAGTCGAATTCCATGTCGCCATATCAAACAGATTTATTTCTCAGTAATTGCGGTTATTTTTGTTTTATTTTATTATTTATTTGTTTATTGAATTAATTGATTATTTATTTTATGTTCGCTCGTCAGATGTTTTATGCTTGTTCTTTGCGCTATCATTGAGTGAATTGTTTCTTCTTGATTGATTTTTACGGTGGGTTTGATCGTTTTTACTTGCTTTATATTTCTCAAGTCAGTTATGTTTGTAGTTGTGAGTATATATATATACAGATTTGTCTATGTAATAAAGTTCTGTACATACTGGCATTTACTTTTGTAATAAGAGAATTTTTGCAGTATCATTATTTCTGTTAAACAATATATAATACATTGTTTGATTTGTAAGAGTATACGAAAAAATTACAAAACCATTCGTACATCGATAAAAAAATCAAGCTCAGTGAAAAAAGTCAAACTCTTATAATAAATTTCGGCCTGTAAAGAAGAATTATATAGATATAAAAGAAATAACTGATACAGTACAACGTTTTCATCCAAATTTTAGTATGTGATGTTTACCCCATTGTACAAGCGACTCTCTTTTGGAACTAGCTGAAGCTCACAGAAATACAGCAAACATTTAATCTTAGATGCATGATTTTTTTTAATTGGTCGTTATTATCTTTGAACTAGCTTTCAGTAACTGCGAGTACTCTCAGATTTGTACTTAGTGTCTATTTGTTGTGGGGATGTATAAGTACCCTGCCACGTCCGGTCTGTGTTTTTGTTAGATATATTTCTGCTTTGCATCGAACTGATTTTTGTAGTTTGTTCTTATGTTGTGCTGTTACACCACTGTTCCAGGTTGGGTTGGCGCCTTCAAACTAGTTTAACCCCGCCACATTATGTATGCCTGTCCCAAGTCAGGAGCCTGTAATTCAGTGGTTGCCGTTTGTTCCTGTAAATCATATTTGTTTTTCGTTCATTATTTTGTACATAAATCAGGCCGTTAGTTTTCTCGTTTAAATGGGTTTACATTTGTCATTTCGGGGCCTTTTATAGCTGACTATGTGGTAGGGTTTTGCTCATTGTTGAAGGCCGTACGGTGATCTACAGTTGATAATTTCTCTGTCATCTGGTCTCTTGTGAAGAGTTTTCTCATTGGCAATCATACCACATCTTCTTATTTTTATATTGATATCATAAAGTCTAATTTAAGTTATAAATAATCTTTACACATAAATAATTGTTTGAGTTAATATCTTCCATAAGACAACAACCGGCAAATGAACAGTAAAGTGGTTTTTGTAAAAGTACTGAGTGATATCGTAGGACACTAGTAGCGAGTAAGTTACAATGTAGTAGCGAGTTAGTGTTAGTGAGTAAACAAGGTATTGTCCATTTATCCTGTACTTTTTCAAAAGCAGAAATGTTTTCCAAAAAATCTTAGAATTTTTACTGTAATCAATATACAATACAGCCTATAGAAATAAGAAGATGTGGTATGAGCGCCAATGAGACAACTCTCCATCCATGTCACAATGTGTAAAAAGTAAACAATTATAGGTCATTGTACGGCCTTCAACACGGAGCCTTGGCTCACACCGAACAACAAGCAAGTTGTGTATGTATGGTCATTGATGTCAGGAGACGTCTTTAACTTGTCGTGAGGTGAGAGTTTTTGTACCATGTTGAAGGTCCTCATTGTAAAGTTCAGATGAAGAACAATAAAAAAGCTATTCCTTAAATTTTTTGGGGGTGTTTCATGAGTGTATACTTTTAAACATTTGGTATAATTAAACAATTGTGTGCCTCTTAATACTGCAATTGGTAAGAGTTAATCAAAATTATTAGGTTTGCAGGATTGTTTTGACGATTGACACATTTTATTCTTTCTAAAGTGGTACAATTGTTTCAGAGCTT